TGATGAGCACCTGTAAATTACTTACCACTCTAAAAGCTATGTCTCCAAATAGTTGCATTCTAAGGTATTGGGGGTTAGGACTTTCACATATGAATTTTGGGGGGCAGAATTCATCCCATCCCATCATATTTTTTAAAAGGCATTGGGTGCTTACCCAGGTCAAGGGGTACAGAAGGGGTTTTAACCTACCTGACCTCACATCCATGGCAGGTGATGGGCCTCTTCATGCTGTTTCCCCTGTGTACTTGTCCAAGTAAGACCTCATGGGCCACCACCTGGTGCAGCCAATCCCTTCATAGTTCTGATTCCCTCTTAGAAGCAAGCCCCAAAGCTAGAAAGGCCAGCTATTTGTAAGTGACTGGGGAGCACACACCCTTCCTCATTTCATAAGGGGAGCTCATGAGGGATGCTTACACAATGCTGAGACACGCTCCCCAAACATCAAGGAAAGATTTGTGTCATCCAGCCAGTCAATCCTGGACTCTCAGGGCCTTCTGAGTAGGCCGGTCATGGGAACAAATACTGGCCTAAGTGTTAGAAGTCTTTGAAAATCAGATGGGCCTGTGGGAAATTAGATATTGTATTCAATGAAAACTGGGCACAGAGACTCAGAAGTTTCATACCTCTTCCTACTGTCTTTTTAAAACTAATAGGCTATTTCTTTTTAAGAACAGTTTTAGATTTACAGAACAATTTAGCATACAGTACAGAGTTCCTAATTATCCTGCCCCCCCACCTCCACCCCCTGCCCAGTTTTCAATATTATCTTCTGCAAATGCAGTACATTTGTTACAGGAATGAGTCAATATTGGTAAAATCCATAGTTTACATTAGAGTTCTCTTCCTGTTGTACAGCTCTGCCTGTTAGGACTAATGCAAAATGTCATGTGTCCACCATTCCAGTGTCAAACAGAAGAGTTTCCCTGCCCTGAGAATCTGTGCTCTGCCTATTTATCCCTTCTCTCCCAGCCCCAGAACCCCTAGCAACCACTCATCTTTTTAGTTTTGCCTTTTCCAGAATGTCCTAAAGTTAGAATCAGAGTATGCAGCCTTTTCAGATTAGCTTCTTGCACTTAGCAATATGCATCTAATGTTCGTCCACATCCCTTCCAGGCTCTACAGCTCATTTACAGCTCATTTCTTTTCAGTGCTGAGGAACACTCTTTTGTCTGGATGTCCCAGTTTGTTTATCCTTTCAACTCCTGGAAAGGATGTTTTGCTTTCTTTCAGTGTTTGGTGATGATGAGTTCCAGCTGCTATAAACACTCCTGTGCTGGTGTTTGTGTGGAGGTAAGTTTTCCACTTGAGCAAATACCTAAGAGCATGGCTGCTGGATTGTATAGTAAGATGGTGTTTAGCTTTGTAAGTAAATGGCAGAACGTGCTCCAAAATGGCGGTACTGATTGGTATTCCTACAGTGACGGATGAGCATTCCTGTTGCTCTGAGGCCGATTAGCATTTGATGCTGTCAGTTTGGTGGGGGATGGGAGGGAGTGGAGATAATTTTAATAGATGTGTTGATATTTTCTTTTTGAATGTGTAAGTTCCTACTGATTCATGATGTTCCACATGTTTTCGTATGCTTATTTGCCATTTGTATACCTCTTTGGTGTTTTTTTTCCCCCCCAAATCTTTTGCCCATTTTAAATTGGATTTATTTCATTGTTAAGTTTTGAGAGTTCTTTGTATGTTTTGGATATAATCCTTCATCAGATACAGATTTTGCAAATATTTTTGCCACTCTATGGTTGGTCTTCACTCTCTTAACAGTGTCTTTGGCAAAGCAGATGTTTTTAGTTTTCACGAAGTCCAACTTATCAATTTTTTCCTTTCATGGATCATGCTTGGTTGATTATCTTTAAACTCATAGCTAAACCCAAGGAGAAACATTTAGCTTTTCTCCTATGTTACCTTCTAGGAGTTACATATTTTTGCATTTTTACATTCAGGCCTATAATCAATTTTAAGTTAGTTTTTAAAAAAATGTGAGGTCTGTGGCTTGATGGTACTGATGATGATCTTGCATATAGAAGCCCACTTATTCCAGAGTGGTTTGTTAAAAAGGATATTCTTACTCCATTGAAATACTTTTGCTCCTTTGTTAAATGTTGGTTGAGTGTATTTGTGTGCGTTCATCTTACTTTTCAATGGAAATTTTGACTACTGTTTAGGGGAAATACTCATAGCATTTGTTACAAGCAGATTCTTACATTCCAGCTCCCTCCAGTCAGCCACCAAAAAATGTTTGGAATATAGATCTTGTGCAGTGGGAGTAAGGCTGGAGGCACCGGAGGGAGGGGTGAACAAGTTTGACACTGATGAAGTGCCAAAGTCCCCAGCTGCTGCCCCCTCCCAACCTGAAAAAGGTGCCTTAGGCTAGCCAATCCTCACGCTCCTATAAATCTATGCTCTGCCTCCCCCTACCGTCTTTAAAAACTCGTTGCCTGCCCCGTTGGACCGGACTTCTCAGGCCTGTGTGTGCAGACTGGTGAACCTCCCTGGATTGCGCTGAGATAAACTGCCTGGCCTTTCATTGCCTCTCGTCTCCTGCTCATTTCGGTTAGAATTTATCTTACAGTGGGTACCTGTGGAAATCATTGCTGATCTCCCTGTCCATACTAACCTTTATTAGAACGCACTAGATCCTTTCCTGCTCAATTTTATTAAGTCCTTTGTGTTTCTCCACATCTGAAAGCTCTGCAAAACAGATGAACTAATACTTTAATTTTATCACCTACCTACCACCCACCTAGCATTTCGGAGAGGAATTTCGGTGGTACTATGATAAGTGTAGGGGTCTCTTTTCCTGTCCCAGATCTTAAAAAGTCCCTTGGGGTTCCTGACTTGGCAAGCTGACCTGTGGACATTATTGGGACATTATCAAAGAGGCAAGGTGGATTCTGAGCTCAATTGCATTGTTAGTTACCAAAGACCAGTTGTAAAAACTGGTCACACTGGGTCATAGTTTGGAGTGAGGATTTCTACCGCTCTCCCCTACTTCAAATGATTGGCATCTGCCAAATAATCAGAACAAAGAGGCCTTTCACCAAGTTCAGTTTGGAATTTCTAAGCAGCTAAGTGTAAGCAAGGTAGGAAAGCCAGAAGGGCAGTTTTGCTACGCAGCTACTCTAGAGTGTGCGGTAGTCGAGGGCAGCGCCCTGGAAAAGCTTAGAGCTGTAATGACGTCAACTTGTTACTTACTTTCCAAATCTGAATGACTGAGCAAGGGGAAAGAAGAATCAATCAACCACAATGTGACCCTACAGGCGAAAAAACCGCAGCGCTCCCACCAGCGGGCCATGGGGGAAGGGAAGCACGTGTAACCGGGGCAGGGTTGCATCATGAGCTCGCTCGGGATTTCTCTTGCACGCCTGGTTTTTCGATTGCATTTAATACCTTAGTATCAGTCCGCACAAGCCCAGGGAGCCGGGGAGCAACGAAGGGCAGGCTCAAGGGGAGGGCCCACACGTCCTTTCGGGTGGGCCTTGAATGGCACCTGGTGCATAATAAGACAAAATCTATTCTGCTGATTCACAATTAGGGAGACTGTGTGTGTATTTTTTATTGATGTGCTCTAATATTGGTGTAGCAACAGTCGTTTTACAACATGGACGTTTTACAGCAATATTTGGCAAAGTAATTTTACGTACGCCTTTTTGCTGGAGGACCAGCCCCTTAAGAAACTCATCTTCGGCCCAGTCTCCCTAACAACCAAAACAGCAAACGGTCCAGTGTCCCAGAAGGGAGCAAGTGAGGTTACAGTTCAAAGTGCTGACTGTACTGGACTCTTAGGACCCTTTATACACAAACGGGCGGGGCAAACTTATTTTAAGATACTCACCTCAGCAGATAGCAGTGGTGCTGAGGGGTGGGCGCGGCAATCTGTTCTGCTGAATTGAGGCGGAGTGATGGGCAGTTTCACCCAGGTGGAAGGAAGGAGTGCTGGGGACTGGGGTGCATTAGGGCCGAGTAAGTTAACTGCAACAGAAAACACATTGCAAATGTCTGGGATCTGAAGCCTGCTGGTGGGGTTGGAGTGGCGGTGGGGTGTGTGGAGGCCCGCGGGTCCAGGTGTCCCCAGTCTCATGAGCTCCACCCCTGTGGGTATGAGTTCCTCCCCTAGCATTTCTGGTTCTTCCCGGGAGATGTTTTGCAATGGTCGAGGCTTCACTAGATTCCCCAGCTTTTGGGGAGGGGAAGAGAGCCCTGGGGTGTTCCCTAAACTGTCGATTTGGAAGGAGATGCACGCTCGAGCAGGTTGCCACGGGCTCTGTTAGGGCAGCTGGGCGGCTTGAGGTGGGGGAGGGTAACATGCTGGCTGTGGCCTGGGTTCCCCTCCCCCCTGCAAGCGGTGGGGATGGTGGCCCAGGTTCCTGTCCCCTCCTCGTAGCGGGAGCAAGGGGTTCCATTCCCCTACCTGCGTTGGAAGGGACAGGGTGCGGAGCAAGTAGGGAGAGGCCCGGGCTCCCCTCACCCACCCTGAGCGTAGCAGGGAAGCTCGGAGTGGGGAAACGTGCAAGGTCGCGGGTACCCCAGTGGGGGAGGGGCTGGACGGGGACGCATTCCTCCGGGAGGCCACGTGGGAGGGGCTAGATGGGAAGTGGGCTCTCATCCTCAGCGCCGCGGGGGAGGGGCAAACCCGGGGTCCCTAGCCTCCGCGGGGGAGGGGCCGGCGGGGGCGGTGTCCCTGGCAGTAATCCCGGCTGGGATCGGCGCGCTGGTGGCCGTTCCGCCCGGAGGTCACTGCCCCGTGTGGGTCCCTCTCACCATCCCTCCCTCTCCCGCGGCCGCTCCCTCCTCGGCACCCCCAATCCGCGCTCGGAGCGAGGAGCCGCCAGCGCCCCCGCCGCCGCCGCCGCCGCCGCCGTGGTGCTCTCGGCCGCCATTCGGTTCCCGAAACTTTACGGCGCCCGCGCCTCTGGGACTCGGCGGCGGGGCGGGGGCGGCCCGCAGCTGCTTCGGGCGCCGGGCCCTGTTAGGCCGCGGCGCGGCGACTGCCGCGAGAGGGAGGGTGCACCGCGGCGCCGCCGCCACAAATTGCGCTGCTCGCGGAGAGGTGAGTGCCGGGCGCGAGGCCGGGGCACAAAGTTCTCCTACGGGGGCGCTACTCCATCCCCCGCGGAGCTGGAGGGCTTCTGCGGGCGCCAGCGCGCTTCGCCCGCCGCCGGGGCTCTGGAGGGGCTGGCCCCCAGCTGTCCCTCGGGCGCGGGCTGGGGTGCGGCGCGCTCCCTGCAGGCTGAACAATACCCGAGGTGGCCGCTCCCCAAAGTGCCGGCGCGCCGGGGGGCGGGCGGAGGCGGGGTGCGCCTTTGTTTGGGGAGGGGGAGGCGGCCGGCAAGTTTGGGGAAGTGCTGGCCGCGTCCCCGGGCCCCTTTGTCTGCCGGTTCCGGGGCTGGCGGGGCGGACCTGCGCTGCCGCGGGATCCCCGTGGGGGAGGGGAGCCCATTCATCCCGGGCGCGGGACGGCCCGCCCGGGACCGGGTGCAGGCGCTGCGGCGCGCTGAGAGCGAGTGGCGGTTCGGGCAGCGCGGCGCCGTGGCCGCTCAGTTTATGAGGCGCAGAAACTGCCAGCTAAGGAAGTCAGGAGCCCCCGGCCCAAGCATGAGCCCGGGCTGGGGCGACATCGGTGGGGGTGGGGAGCGCTCCTGGGCAGGCGGGGTCTTCAGAGGGCGGCCTGGGGGCGGTGCAGACCTGTTGCTCCCGGGCTCGCGGGAGGGGCGCCCCCAGGCCCCGATCCCGGTCCTGCACCCCGGGGCCTTACCCCCGGAGAAGCGGTGCACGGAACGGGGTGGGGGTGCGCCTTCGGGTGTCGCTGGTCGTCAGGCATATGACAATTTGGGGTTGCCGTAGGCCTGCCCGGCCTGGGACTGGGCTTCATGTGGGTTCTCCGCTCGCGGGCAGGCCTTGGTCAGGCCTCGGCCATCCCTGGTTGCACGGCCTCACTTCTGCAGCCAACTGTACTGGAAATTACACAAAGTTAGAGACGTAGGTGTTTTTTTTTTTGTTTTTTTTTTTTTAAGTGGTCTAAAACATTGTACATTTATTATCTGATAGTTATGTAGGTTAGAAGTTTGATACAAGTTTCATTGGGTTAAAAGCAAGATGTTAGCAGAGCTGTATTCCTTTTTGGAGACTCTAGAGGAGAATCCGTTTCCTTGCTGTGACTGGCTTAGACATCCTTGTCTGTTGGTCTCCTTCCATCTTCAAAGTTAGCAGTATGGCATCCCTGCCCCTCCTTTTCGTTGTCACCTATCTTTCTCTGACTCCACTTTTCTGTCTCCCAGTGAGATTACAGTGGGCTCATTCAGGATAAACTTAGTATTTTAATTTAGCTGATTAGCATCCAACATTCAAACTGCAACCTTATTTATGCAACCTTAAGAAACCTAACATACTAACAGGTTCTGGGAATAGGACCTGGATATTTCTGGAGATGGGTGAGGGGAGCATCATTCTGCTTTCTACAGGAGGAAAAGTCCATTTTCATTGTATTCCATGAAGATATATTTGAGGCACAATGATAGATTCACCTATTTATTCACTCACCAATACAGAGTAAGCATTTATATCTATTTTACTAATCACTGGAGATACAAGGAAAAATAAAACTATTCCTTAAAGGAGCTTAGCATCCACACATAGGATACAGACTCTAAATAAGTGAAATAGTGGGAAGTAGTGCAATGGGGGAGTCAATGGAGGACTCATCTGGGAGTGGCCCATTCTGTGAATGGATTTGGGAGCACTTCAAGAAAGGCTGGATAGAAAGATGCTTGAGTCTTGAAATTTGTTCTCTCACAGATTGATGGGAGGCAGGAAAACATTCTAGACAAAGAATGCAGAGAGAGCATAATGGCATGACATAATGGGGGCTGCATGGAAAATGGCAAGTACTTCAGCAAGAAGGAACAAGGTGAGAGATAAGGTGGGAAAGACAGGTAGGAACCAGAATTTCAGATATCTCTGTATCTAATGCTTTTTTTAAAATATTATTTTATTTTGGTAGTATTAATCTATAATTACATGAAAAACATTATGTTTACTAGGCTCCCCCCTTCACCAAGTCTCACCAACATACCCGTTCACAGTCACTGTCCATCAAAATAGTAAGATGCTGTAAAATCACTACTTGTCTTCTCTGTGTTG